ACACATATATATATATATGTATATATATATGTGTGTGTGTGTGTGTGTGCTCCTTTTTCTCTCTTTCTCGATTTTTAGTACTGGATGAAGGCGACATTGCATTGCTGAAGACATACGGAGCAGGCCAGTATTCAAAGGCAATCAAACAAGCCGAAGAAGACATGCAGGTAAGTCCAATTTAAGAGTGGCCATAATAGCAATCAGTAACACGCTAATTTTGTAACTAATGATATGCTTTTGACAGCTTAGCTTAAGAATAGAATCGCGTATGTGCTTAAATTCCAGGGTCTCCTTCGAGCAGTGGCCAAAAACTGACGTCAGTGGTCAATCGAGATCAGTAATATTATAATTTTTGTCAGTTACTTTAAGATTTTCTGGTTGATAATAGCTTGCAAGTTCGCTCACATAAGGCGCAACTAGTAGCTCTTAGTGCAAGTTTCAGTATTTCGTTTTTTAGTCTTGTTTTGTGTCTTGTATTGCTCTGCAGGCGATTTTAAAACGGGTTAATGAATTAACCGGTATCAAAGAATCTGACACAGGTTTAGCGCCCCCCGCACTCTGGGATCTTGCGGCCGACAAACAAACGCTACAGAATGAGCAACCACTCCAGGTGAGGGCAACTACTGCCGTATACAGTTCGTGCTCTATCACCACGAATTGCTACGGACCGTGAATATAATCGTGCTCTTGTTATTATTAAAGTATGCTGTTGGTTACCAAAGGAGAGATCTGGTATTCTCAGGATTTTCTCGATAAAATAAAGAGTTTTGGCGGGGTTCTAGTTTCAACTACTACGAAAACTGGTTCTTAGTGAATATAGTCTAGGTGACCTCTTTTCATTTCCACTCGTTTTAGGTGGCTCGTTGTACGAAGATAATTAAAGGCGCTACTGGAGAGGATGCGAGCGGCTCCTCTGAAACAAAGTACATGATCAACGTGAAGCAGTTTGCCAAGTTCGTCGTCGACCTTGCCGACACCGTTGCTCCAACTGACATTGAAGAGGGTATGCGAGTTGGCGTTGACAGAAATAAATACCAGATTCACATCCCACTTCCGCCCAAGATCGACCCAACCGTTACCATGATGCAGGTTCGTAAATCCTGACCTTGATGAAATTTTTAAAGATAATTTATCGAAGCCTTCCGTTCATAAAATTACTCTTTCACACCGACACTATTTAGGTACTTATGGCATACAATTGTGTTGCTTACCTTAAATTCAGATACGATATTATTATAGTATGTTATTGCAAAAATCCAGACTCATTTGTGTTAGAAATTTTATAACAAAACGCGTTCGGTTACAGGTGGAAGATAAACCGGACGTTACATACACGGATGTGGGAGGATGCAAAGAGCAGATCGATAAACTACGCGAGGTAGTTGAAACTCCATTGTTGCACCCTGAGCGTTTTGTGAATCTTGGCATTGAGCCGCCCAAAGGAGTACTTCTTTTTGGTCCACCTGGAACTGGTACGTTATTCGACAGAATCAATAATCCGCTGGTGGTTTGAATAAAGTAACACATATTTAGCATAACATTAATTATCGCAATGCTGCATAAGCTTACTTTGCTTAGATTTCATTAGATTATCACGCAAATTATATTCAGTATATCAAACACAATTTCCTCGAGTCCAGTACCTGTGCGATGGCAATGGGAATTATTCTGCTGACCATAACACTTTTCATTCATTCAACCAATAGATTTTATTCATCTTTTTACGAACGCGTGAGTATATTATTTTATAAAGCTAAAGACATTATTGATCGCGTGCTCAATGAAATAGCAAAATCTACATATTACTGTATTTCGTGCCTCATCTCAACATATACGATGCCGTTTTCACCGTGCGTTTTCTATTGTTGTGACATACAGGTAAGACGCTGTGTGCCCGTGCTGTGGCCAATCGTACTGATGCGTGCTTCATTCGTGTCATTGGATCGGAGCTGGTACAAAAGTACGTCGGTGAAGGTGCGCGTATGGTTCGGGAGCTGTTTGAGATGGCTCGTACGAGAAAGGCCTGCCTCATCTTCTTCGACGAAATCGACGCTATTGGGGGTGCCCGATTTGACGATGGTGCTGGCGGTGATAACGAAGTACAAAGGTACACAGATAGCGCTTGTGCAAAAAGTAATCTTTTCTGAGTATCTGAGCAGAAAGCATTGCTGCTTTGGAATACGTTCGAAACAAAAATCTTTTTTCGTGTAATTTGCAGAACGATGTTGGAATTAATCAACCAGCTTGACGGTTTTGACCCTCGCGGAAATATCAAGGTATGTACTTCATTATAATGAGGTACGAAAATTGAAATTAGAGAAAGATTGTCGATCCAAGAAAACGCGTAAAAGAACGTTCATGAGCGATATTTTATTCACTGCTTGCTCTTGTACTCATAAATTGGGAATTTCAAAAGTCGGGGTTGCATTGTTTAAATGTATCCAGAGCTAACCCGCTTTAGTTTTAATTCCAATATTTCAAGACAAGTAGAGCTTATTGAGGTGGTAGAAAATAACATTAAAAAATATATACCTGAATTTATTTTAATTAAGGTTTTGATGGCTACGAATCGACCTGACACCTTAGATCCAGCTCTGATGAGGCCAGGACGTCTCGACAGAAAGGTGTGTTCTATTCAAAATAGGGCAATTTAGAGCCTCAATGCCTGAATATGTATATAATCAGTAGTTGGATGTTGCTCTCTCATCTGGGTGAACGATTACGATACACCTAAAACAGTTGTGCGCCTTGAAGAAGGGACTGCAAACTTATTGCTAATAATTATATATTTCCAATAACACTATTTACTATAAATTTAATACGCACTAATCCCTTTCCAGGTTGAGTTTGGTCTTCCTGATTTAGAAGGGCGAGCCCATATATTCAAAATCCACGCGCGCTCCATGAGTGTGGAAAGGGACATCCGATTTGAGTTACTCGCGAGACTTTGTCCTAACTCAACTGGAGCTGAAATTAGGTAAGTTGCGTGAAAAATAAGTATCATTACTGTAAGCAACGTCGACCGCTTTAAGTCTACCGACCTTCTGAGTAACTAATATTATTGCTTGTCCCCAATAACGCTGAAGCTGGTTAGTAGGTTAGTGATTCCGCCTGTGCTAACATAGAGTACTACTAGGTGCATACGTTTGCCTGTTATTGTTCCCGGTTTTCGACCTAAATTTTGCAAGGGTTTCGCATCTTACAAACTCCATATCGACCACCATAAAATTTACATTTCTGTTATTTTTGCTAACGATGCTTGGTGTTTCCATTTGCGTAGTTTCTTCCCTGGCTCCAACATATGGTGCTTCTCCCACGACTTAGAAGCATGGTGGATACGACTGAAATATTGCGTAACCAGGGTGTTCTACACCAACAAATCAGTCCAGATTTAGATTTTACTACATGACTTTCAACCCGCAAGCAGAATTTATAGATACAACAATTTGGTGATTACTAATCAAGTGCACGTAATTTCATAGTAGTTGTACCTGATCCTTGTTTCCAAAATACCTACGAAAAAGGGCAACGATTCGAAAAAATCAATTTCGGAGGACGTTAACTTTTAATTACAATTCCATTAGCCGTCCTAGGCATCGACCGAACGTCTGAGGCCTTTCAGATAAATCTGCCTTGTTTTCTTCCTGATTCTTTTAGAATTAACGTCATTATCCGAATGTGTATTTAGAAAGTCAACAACGAAGATAAATTATGTGGATGGCTATCCTTGAGGCTGTTAAACTTTCATTTGGCTCTAACATAAGCCTGCGTGATTTTCTGAACATAGTGCTTTCTAAACCGTTAATCATGATTTTTTTTAAAGAAATTCTTTGCGAATATTTTTTTGAGTCATCTACTCTCTTATATGCACATGATATAGGATCAATGTACTTCATCAGTCTCTTCGAGAACGTCGATGTGCAATATTTATAATAATATGAAGCAGCGGAAAGATGACAACCTGCTGTAATCATTGCATGTGCACAGCAATACAGACAAAGAGACAACCAACTTTAACAAGTTCCATGTTGTTGTAAAATGAAACAGGTCCGTGTGTACAGAGGCCGGCATGTTTGCGATCCGCGCGCGTCGAAAGGTAGCGACTGAGAAGGATTTCCTTGAGGCAATCAATAAGGTCATCAAATCCTACGCCAAATTTTCCTCAACGCCGCGCTACATGACTTACAACTAAAATCTTATAGCCAAAAAGATTGAGATGTAACGCGGATTTTCTAGCAACGACACTAGAAGAGAAGTACCGAGAACCCCATGCGATCCTTGTAAAGCCTATGCGAAAAACGCTTTCAAATCGCTAAAGGTCTACAGGATGCCGTATCTGCGAACAAGGCTGATCAGAGAAACATATTCAACTCAACATCGTTTCTGTGATAGGTTTCTCTGTCAACTATACTCCAGATTAGATGCATAGAACCCAGACTAGTCTATTGACACAATTTCTGCAAAATCATATGTATTATTTCGGGTTACTTGTCTGGTACTTTGTGGGTAGTTGCCTCTTGACGAATTTTTCAAATGTTTCTTCCCAACTTCTTAAACAAATAAAATAACGATTCATTCCTGTTCCGTCTAATGGAATTGATTATATATCATTTGTCTTTAAAGTCAAAAGTCAATATTCTTGTTCATTATTTGCATGATGCGTTTGTTCAGATTATGGTAATTAGCAAATGTTGAGAGCAGAATACAGCGGACGTTAGTCATATTGATATAGTAGAGTACAACGGAAAGCCTGGCGGAAACCTGATTTTATGGTATCATAATAAAAGTAAGGTGCGCCGTATTCTTCTACTACTCGAGAAAATTGCATGGAAATTAAGTCTGCAACCTCTGGAAACGCGTATTTCAAGGTTATATAAAACGGTTTGAGCTGAATCTAACTCGATTCAAGTTTATTTCGATAACAATATAAGTGTCTGCAATTTCATAATATACTATTACGCGTATATGTATAATAAATATTGAATTAGTATAAAGTAAAAGGTGAAATTGGTTTGTCTTCTCAATGCGTGATCTGATTTCGATCACAATTTTTTACAATTATCTTAGATTTTGTTACACCCATTATTTATTTTGATTTAGTGTTTAGAGTAAGGTTGTCACAAAAACACAATACAATTGAGTTAGAAGGTATGAATGTAGTGACCCGGATAAAACCCAATACAGATGTATGGGGTGGGAAATAGGGGTAAGAACAGAAATAGTTTCCACCAATACCTATGCAATTAGAAATTATGTATGCACATTGCAATAATAAAGAAATTCACAATATCATATACATATCTATGTACGATGATTTTGTCAAAAAAGCCCTGACAAAGGCAATCTTGAAAGTCGAGAAAGTAATGATAGTGTATTGCGTATTTTTTTACTGCATATTATTGGGTATTAAAACGCAGCACAGGCATTTCTAAGCACTTCCGTGCCATTCCATCATATTAATGACATCAACTAGTACCGCATAATTTAATTAGATTCAAGGAGTTCAGCTAAAGGGTATATCAGTTGCGTAGCTTACAGTAAAAGTTTTACATTTTTTTGCTAGATTACCGGAACCAAAATTACTGAACTATTTATCGCTTCGCACATTAACCTCGAATAATCTGGTGTCTTATGGAGACGAAAGGTCATAAAAAGTATTTCAAAACCGGTGCAAATGGAGGCTAGCTATAAGAAGAAGGCGCAAAGATATTTCCAAGCTTCATCTTCAAATAATATAGAAATGTACAAGTAGAAATAATGTAATGGCTTTCTTTCCGTTTTTCGTTATAAAAATTCTACTTTGTGAGGGGCATTGCCATTCCAGGAGACCATTGTAAGGACTAAAAGATAGCATGGACAGCCCCAGTTTAACACCACCTAAGGTCCGTTTATTTGAAATCAAAATATACCTTGTGGTGCTGTGAAATGCATGCGTTAAGAAAGTAACTTAACTTCTCAAGATTTTTTGAAGTTATGCTTGAATTTTACTATGATTTTCATAAACTGCTTTTGTGCTCTAAGTAATAAGGTAGCTATATTTAATGGGGTCCGACGATGACTTCGGACTCCAAGTCCAATTACATTGCAGTATTTGAAAACCTAAAGTCTCGAAAAAAGTGTTCTTACAATACTAACGACATATAAATTTAAAAATATGATTTTTGCATGTTAATCCCTTCTTTAGTTTCGTCTGTACTAATAAATTTGAAATAACTTTACTGTTGTCATTGCTTTCAAAGTTTTTGCACACGTCACTACGCAGTCCGAGATGTATTTATATGACACACATTTGTGTACTATGACTATGACTGAGAGTGTTATTCATCGGATGATGCTTGTAAGGCTGGGGAACTACTTGGATATCGCTTCTTTCAATTCCTGTATGCGTATTTGCCGTTCAAGTGTGTGTGTGTATCGTTCTTTAATTTGAATAGCGCTTAGATAGAAGCCTAGATACAAGCAAAATGCGTTGATTACGTTGAAGGCCTAAGAATAACTTTTGCTTAGAGGCGCTTTGCGTATCACAGTAGTACCACAAGCGTATCGAACCCGCTTCCACATTCCGCGACTTATCCAGTGTCTTTTCGCATCGTCTGTCGAGTCGGCCGGGAGCACGTTTTCCATTATGGGTCACGATAGCGTTTGGTTTGCGCATCCACGCAAGTATGGGCCTGGCTCTAGAAAGTGGTAAGTATCCTTTAACTCACTCTGTCGGTAAATGTTAAAACATGGCTAAAACCCTAGTGAAATCAACAGATTTTAGTGTTTCCTTTGGCTGTTAGGATCAATGCATTTGGAGCAGCCATCTTGAAATCATATGCCCACCTGAAAATAGGCGGCCTTTCGTGTACTAAAAATGGTTGAATGAGGTAAAAAAAAACATCCAAACAGCAATTGTATTCATGCGAATATGTGCTGTGATACTTAAACGGACGAAAACGGATAGATTCTTCAGAATTATCGGGTGGTAGTTGAATTGCAACGAGTTAGTGCCTGATTGACACATGTGGTTTACCATTGATATTCGAATTAGTTTACCATTAATCCTTAAGCTTATTAGCCATACGGTATGAGCCAATACCAGTTTTTTTTTATCACTGATTATTGTCACTTATTTTCAATACCTTAGGTAAAACACCTGCCTCTGTGTTAACTGTTATCTTTTCAGTAGCTTTGCCATTGTTATCTGTTAGAGTTGCGTGTTATTTGTTTGTCGTGTGTATGTATCGCCACTTCATAGAAAATTTATTTAAAGAGTTACGGTATATTAGATAACTCTGGAAATGTAATACATTGATACAAAACCAGCGGCAATCAGCACTTTACGATGGAAGTTGAGTTCATACTAGTGACGTAGGTCTTTAGACAAATAGCATTATAAAAGGCAAATGGCATCATAAAGCTATTTATACAAAGTATTTTTTCAGCAATTTTCAGCAATGCTGCATCGCGGCGTTGTCCCCTATATACAACCGCGATAAATACTCTTGATTAGGATCACTATAAATAAAGGTGATAAGCTGTTGGCACTTTTATTTGTTAGTAAATTATCTGTGTGTCTGTGGTTTGTCGAATTTCAGTCGCGTCTGCTCAAACACTCACGGGCTGATCCGCAAGTACGGCCTCAACCTCTGCCGTCGTTGCTTCCGTGAGTATGCCAACGACATCGGCTTCAAGAAGATGGATTAGAAAGCCGAACGTGGCTGCTCTATGAAAGAATGCCAAACTGCAGTTCGGCGCATTAGGTATTAAATTCTGTCCCAAATCATTTTGACGGAAGCCTCTCAAAGAAGACTTCGGTTGAAAAGAGAAATATTTCGCGGGACATTCAAGTGCGTGGAAGGTGGTAGTTCGAGATTTATTGTTTTTTAAAACACAATAATAAATGCACTGATCTGCCACTGTGGCAAGAAAATAGTGGTTGTTGTCTACTCACTGTATTTGTCGTTTGCTTGAAAATGCTCTAAATTTTTAACCAGATGTGGAAAGTTACGCGAAACTCCGCACACTAACGAGTTTTTTGGATTCTATCTGCCTCTGTAGTGAGTAATTTTGATAAAACGAGTGTCTACTGCCAAAAAGGCAAAAGAAATGTGTAGCATTAGTATTATTGTTCTTATTTATTTTATCGATATGGTGAGAAATTTCAAATAATATACCTACTAGCCACCTAATAGCTTTTTTAAAATTACCGCGGTATCAATTTTTGGAGAAACACGCGGGTAATTAGTAGTGTTTTTGAGAACCGCATTAGTAATTGTTTTAATCCTAAGACAACGTTGGTAGTTTCCGTTGGCAGAGCCCCATCGTAACGTTAATATAACTCTTAAACCAAACAACTAGGATATATATTATTGGTTCATTGCTCATTCAACCGCTGTAAAGTTATAAGCTATAATGCTTATGACATAGTATTATTACGTAGAAATATAGGAATGGTACTGAGATGCTTGTCACAGCAGTTTTAGGCATCTGATTCGCGTATCTCATAGTACTTTAACATATGCATATGTATACATATACACAAATTTTAGAACAAGGTCAATTGGCTCTTTACTTACCGGATGTTAAAGTAATAAGAGATTACTGCATTAGATTGATGAGAAACTGAGCACAGGCATTTCCATTTTTATATTCCCATAATACTATGTTAGTAGCATTACAGGATATAATTTTACAACGGTTGAGTGAGCACTGAACCAACGTTCAGCAATTCTATTATTTTAATGTACCATTTCTTACAGTATTTCTTAAATATGTCATATGTATGTTTGTGCATCTTTGTAGCCGAATATTCTCCTTTACTCCAGGGTTGATGCCATCAGGTTTGGGGACAGGGAACGCTTTACTAGTATTCTCCGTTGGGATATGACTTGTCGTTAAACATGTCATAAATAACGCGCTTAACCACGTGATCTTTTATTTCAAAGACTTTGGAAGGTGCTTAGGACGAGAAAGGTAAAGAAATAAATATATCTTTCTCGTAAATTGTAGTGTTGGATATAAATACCCAAGGGAAGGCAGTCTAGGTTTAAAAAAGCAAACAAGAAAAGCGGAGATCCTAATTTGATTCAATTTGCGTTCTCCATTTTGCATTTAAAACGAAGACTTTCTCCCGATAAGCCATTAATTTCTCAAGGCTGACATGATAAATCCTCCTCTAGTCCACCAGACAATATAAGAGGATGGCAAATGCCGGTAAGGTCTGGCAAAAGTGAATTCAAAACTGATCTACGGAAATGTGGCAACTAAAATTACTGGATCCATCTGTGGTATACCAAATGATGGCAAACAATGACAAATCAAGCATGCATTAAACCTTCATTGGGGACTTAAGGACGTCCATACGCAGAGCATCTATCACCCGGAAATTGAAGTATGTGATAGTGGTGTTGGGTTTGGCAATCTATCACCTAAGATCGCTGCACAGCTCACTAAAGAATACGGGTCGATGTTTTCAATTTTGCGAAATTGTTCTAAATTGAGAATGGCGGAATAACAGTGTATTTCATAACGTGACGCGCTCTGATGAAGTTTGTTTTAAGCTCTTCTCAGGAACTGTAAATCAACATAACAGAGCCTAATATATAAAATAGAATCCCGAGTTAATTTTAGAATAGTAGTCGTCCTTAAGTCAGTACCTGGACGGCAATTCGAATAAAGGAGTGATTGGCTCTGTCTTTTTAAAACTCCTACGGTAAGACCATTGACGTTGAATGAAATTGTCATTACATAGAACAAACAGGCTCAGAAAAGTCAAACAGCAAAGTTTTATCAAGTTCGGAAAGTTGGCTGTAAAATGTATGAATAAAAAAAACATCAGCTTGGACATTTATGATATAAAGCTTAGTAACTTGAAGTAAATGAACTGTACTACTCCAATATTACTACACAACAATTTGAACCACCGCGATGGTTACTGTATTTTAGATATATACTTACGCTACATATATATATAAATCGCTATTATTCAAAAAAGCTTGTTCGAGGAAGAATGCAGACAATCGCCGTCTAGATGTGCCTATTACGAGTACAACCAAAATTTCGGCCAATGCTTATGCCCTGAGTGTGATTTCCAGTATTGGTGTAGGATTGAGTACTTTGAAACAAATGTGTTCTGAAATGACCACACGTAGCCGCCATATAGCTCAGACTTGAACTCATTGATTATTGTGTGTCCAGTCTGCTCGAGCGAGACTCCTGCATGTCGCGACATGATAAAGCCGACTTGCTCACTAGACGGCGTTCATACAATTGCAAAGGAAATAGAAAGGCCCCAAACTGCAATCAAGGCGAGCAGTTTTATTAAATTAATATGACTGTTTAAGATCACACTTCATAAAATTGCGTGTGTCTTAATACGATCTAAAAAACCACTCCCAATTTAGATCTATCACTACTATATATATATATATATATATATATATATATACATATCGTTTAATTCATTAGAGTTCTACATTAGAGTTAATAAAGGGTACTTTGCTATACATTTTATTGATCATCCTATATATGCAAGACTTCACTCACATCACTGGCCGATCGCCTCTGGCCGATATACTCTTTACATATTGTTATCATATGGTACTAGTTCATCTTAGATTAAGCAGATAAATAATTATCATTTTCATCGTCGCGTTCACCATAATTGGCAATTTTTTTATATACAGCTACAGTTGTAAACCCCATTTATTGCAGTCCTGTTTTTTGATCGCCCTATATATTTATTCATTTGGTATTTCATTAAATAATGCCTTTATACAACATGTTTTGCATATTTGTCTGGTTATATGTGTACAGGTGTTGCATACACACTTATACTGATAATAACTATGTAGCTTCACCACTTCCAAAACGACACATCTATCTAAACTGTATTGATAACAGATTGACAATGTCACTACATGATAACAAGGGTGTGTTACAAATCAAGTTGGTCCCCACACGGAGACGGCAATGTATTAAAAGGCGTAAGATTTAAATGATCACATTAACGCCAAATCTAAAATATTAGTAAAAATAAGCTACTAGTGAACATTACGTTTAACTTCAATAACTACTATGAGAGATGCTTTTTGAACAGCCGCAGCTTTTATAAACGGGAAACCTTGTCAACTGTCATGCATAAGAAAGAAGCAATTAATGGTCATTTTAAGTGAAGGGTTACTCCGTAACTTTAACTCTTTAGTACTTCGTGTTTATCGTTAATAATAATAGCTAAAGGGTCACTTAATCAGATGTTATGCTATCGTCGATTACAAGGGGCGGAGGACTGGCTTCACGACAACTCGATACTACCATAAATCCATTGGAAGGGGTAGGATTTATATCACAGCCTCGTTGACTAAGCGATTTCTTTGAACATTTGTCAGACACCAACAAATTCGAATGGCGATCTGTCTCGCGCCCATCTGGCCCTTTTCTTGAAGCCGTCAAATCAAAGTGCTTTTTGACTGCTAACACTTGATCACCTTTAGAAAAATCATCGTCGCTAGTTCGTATTTGTACGGTAGAAGTTGCAGTTTTGGTTTTTACTGAGTTCCCATCAGAACGAAAACCTTTCATTATCCCAGGAAGTCCCGAATTCCAAACAATTGTCACTAAAGTGTCCTTCATGTTATGACTCGATGTTGTCTTAGTACATTGTACTGTCTTTCTTGTCAAGGTCACTTGTCCATGTGAGTTACCTTCTCTAGATTTTCTTGCAGTATTGTCCTGATTAAAATGCGATTGGGCGACAGGTATACCCCACGGGTCGTCATCCGTCGACAGGGGGTTCTCATTAGTAACTCGGTAAGGTTCTCGAGGAGGAGCATCAATACTTGGGGGCTTTATATGATCAGCGCTCATTGTGAATGACGTTGCCTGTGACATATTTTGACTATTCGCTATATCGATTTCGTCGTATTCGTCACGGTTTGGACTAGGTGACACTAAAGTATTTAACATAGGCCTACTTTCTGTTCTAAATTTCATTTGAGCTAATGATGTAGAATTTGGTGAATTGCATATGATAGCTACGTTTTCAGACGAAAATATTTGTGCGTCCGGAACAGCTTGGCCCTCTTCTATTACTGCCGTTGATGAAAAGGCCAACTTTGTGTTGGACAACAGTGAACTCCGAGCCTGTGAAGGTGAAGCCTTTGGTGGCATTGATTTTTCCAGGGAGTGTTTTGCAAGGCTATTAGAAAAATCGATACTTTGAATTGTATTTACAACAGATAACTCTATTTTCTGTAAACAGTCGTCCTCTGTTAAAGGGTCTTTTTCCGTGGATGAAGCAGGCGATAAGGTTGATAGAGGAACTTCGCCATTTCGATCTGATGTCAATATCTCTTCCCTTATCGTACTGGCTGGCGTTACGAGACAACCTGCTGGTGATGATTTTTTATTTATGGTTGAATCATTTGTCTTGCGAGCGGCAGCCATGAAATATAAAGTTAATAAACGCGAGTTACGTTTTCTCAATATTAGTTCTTATTCAAAATCTGAAGAAAACTGACGGAAAACTCGGAGATACATTTTTGGGGTTGAAATCGCAGACCAGCTTGTATCCAAAATTCTCGGTAGAAAAAAAATCTGCTTTCGCTCATACATTGATAAATTACTAAATTCATATGTTAAGGTTAATTTTTAATTGCGGTTGCATATAGCAGAAAGTATAGTGATAATAATAATAATAAAAACATGGGTGATTTTCGTAATGATACTCCTGCCAGTGAAGACATTCTATATAAAGTAGTAAATACGCATTTTACCGAAAATATTATGCAAATTCAACTCTGTCATCCTACCTGATCCTGACTGATTTGCATTTCTTTGCATTCGCTCTCGTTGTAATGTCGATTCAAGTATGACTTTAAGGCGAATCTTTGACCGCATCTACCACACTCATGCTCAGGATTTTCGCGATGTGCTGAGGAAAATTATCAGTCGTTGGAATAGTTAGGTTACATATGTAAAGCTTACAATTTGTTTTAAAAACATATAAGTAACAAATTATATCACCTATGGCAGTAATGACTCAAACTTAATAAGCCCATAAACGTATCCTTTCTGTCAAAGTGCTTTTTTACGCGTTAACTTCTTAATAAAAAATTATCAACACCTCGATCAATATGATAACTACCACAGTGATGGCACAATATGATTTATCTAAGAAATAAATCAAAAAGGCAATAGATTAAAAGACGTAAACTTTTTTAGAACAATTTTACTTGTTAGTATCATGATCTGTCCAACACATGGAAGTTTTGTCGTTTGCTTAATGTGAACAGAATAAGCTTATAAAAAGTTGTCGGTAGGCAGTGTAGCATAATCTCGTTGCTATTCATCATTGCATTGTTGGCATCGACAATCATCTCTCGGGTCGTGGTAACAACCGAAGGCAGATCACAAATTTTCAATTAGTGTTGTTGTTATCTTTCCAGGCAGAGTCCGTCGTCGCTTTCGCTAGGTAGAATTTTAGGCCTGTCTCGGTCATTTCAATACATGAGTTCGCAGAATTGATTGGGCTTGAAATGAGCCCAGATTAACATCCACAAGATAAGTGAAGAAAAGCCGGAACTGCTTTTAGTGAAAATGTGTGCAGGTCCTTTATTGTGGTTGCTGTCACCAGAACCTTTTGTATCTTTTAGGTAATATGTTTCTAAATTATCAGCCACTAAGAGTCAGCGTCACTCCTGAGTAGGTTAAGAAATAAATATCTAACTTAACCATTCGGAGATTCGCGAGAACACTTGATTGCCTCCATTTTTGGCAAATTCACAAGACCTCTTTTGTCGACATACTTTAAAGAAGACTTCTTTGTCAGTACACGCCTCTTAATTCACTCCATTACCGAAAATTAAAGCGGACTTAAATTTTTGTCCTGAGTAGACCCTGTAGTTCACTTGAAAGGGTCCACCTTTTACCGCCACTCACGATGATTGCGCATTCCTGTAGTATCGCCCGACTGTTTTTCAGCTACTGTCTTTCGCTGGCCCACGCATGTCAAGTGCGGTAGCCAATTTTCTTTGCATGAACCACAATTCTTCGTAATGCCCTGCCAGCTAGACGTTTTTTTGATCGCCTTTTTCTTAGCGTACTACCAAAACAAGGCCTAAGAGACGCAGCCATCTCATAGGCAAATACTAGGCCCATCCAAAAAAGTCGAGCAAGCCCGCCCCTCGAAGTCATCGAATTCTTATTATAGTTAAGCTGGCCCTATGCGGCTCTGCAGAACACTCAATCGCTTGGGGCAGTGACTCTATAGGCCAGTGTCCCTTTATAGTTGAGAGTTTTTTACGAGAACGTTTGCCTGATATAGGCCCACCACAGCTACACCCCGCCGCAGCGCAGCTGTGTCCGGGGTTCTCCTACCAGTCGCTTCTCATATCTGTCGAAAAGATTCTTCCATTCAGTAGGTCAGGAAACTTCCTTCATAAACTTTTGGAAAGAGGACAACACTACCTGTTGATTTACCGTTAATTATACAAAAACTGAATGTGTATCTGTAACTACTATTGAATGGTCATCCGAGTAACATTAAACGATCATCTCTTTCTGACTGGTAGACAGTTATGTACTCTGGCATTAGTTATAAAAATAATTATGAATTAAACTGTAATTTTGCAGATTATTTACCTTTTAGATGTCTATTAAGAGCCACTTTCCAGACAGCATAAAAATCACACTCTGGACAGTGCCACAAGCGTTGCTTATGCTCCGTTTTATAATGATTCTCGAGATCGTCCCGATCTTTGGCTTGATATGAGCAAGCGGGCCTGAACGGGCACCTGGAAACGAAACGAGAAAAGTGTTAAGCAACTTAGACTCTTCAAACATTTATCTTGTAGTAACTAATAATTTTTACTATCGAAGCAAAAACAATATAACTGCAATAAAGAATCTACAACACTTTTATAACAAACTTAAACCGAGAATAATTAAATATCGTACCCTGAGCATAATAAGAATCGTTAGTATTATGAATATTTGTTGGCATCCGCAGTTATCGTTTTAAACAGTCACAGTGGTATACTGTGACGCCATTGACCAAGCCCTCAATTCGGATTAATTTGAAGCTGCTATGCAAGATAACATATTTATTAAACTGTGATATATTTCCAATAATTATAATGAAGTAACCGAAGTCTTTTAAAGACGATACAAGATGCAAAGTACTCGCCTATATCTACTAGTGCTTGCATTTCGATGTGCTACTTTTTCGAACGCATTTCTGTGAGAAGTTCTACTGTGAGTCGTAAAATTTGCTAGAGAACTTGCTTCATAGGCACACAGAGGGCACTTCATTCGCGGTTCGTCCACCTTTTTCCCAGCAATTTTTTTTTGCTTGGCGTTCACTTTCGTCGTATCCCCTGCATGAGGTTCCTTAAACAGCCAAATAATTTATTAATTTTTCAATTAGATCTTAAATATCGGAAAAATTTTTCAAAATAAAGTTTATCACAAAACGCATACATCATACTGGAACTTCCTACAATTATAGCCTTTGATGTTATGAAAGGATATATGAGAGGTCTTTGCGTACTTTTTTATTTTGTGAAGACGTACAATGTTATTGTATATTAAGTGTTAACGAGGGGTAAGATAGCTATCTCTTATAATAGCTATTTTTCATTTTTTTGCGCAGGGACAAGTAGCAGCGACGCTCAAGAACACCAATTCATATTTCTCACGGCAATGAGGGTTCTTTTTCATACCTTCATGTGTAGTTGAAGCATTGAATGAAATTTCGTTTCGAAGGCACAGTTGGGGCACCTGTAAGGCCCAATGACAGGGTGGATCTTGGAGATGTGAGCGTTAAGAAATTCAAACTTCGAAAAGATGAGCGAGCATTTTCGACATGCATATCGGTTTGCTGCTGCGGATCCTATAGTGCTTTCACCGCCTTGAGCTGAAGCTGCCGAAATATCTCCCGTTTCGCCAGCTAAAAACAAAGCGAGCTTCAATATTAATATTGTATTATTATTAGTAAATCGCTAGGAAAATAATGACTGATATAAAATACGAATTTTTACTTATTACTTATCTATTCTGATTTTTCGTTTACTAATGGCTAAGTGTTGTTAGAATAGGTAAAGCATAAAGTATTTAGCTGTGGTTAAAAGTTGAAAAGGGAGATCGTAGGTGGTATTGTTATCATCGGACATTTTTTATCTTCACATTCCGACCCCAACCCGGACAAAAAACGATGACAGCCATTTAAAACAAAGAACGAACATTCTGATGGTCTATAGTACAAGCAATCCAAAGATGAGAAAAAGAAAAAAAAGAACACACGGTAATTACATCCTTTGATAACTTAATATATTTACGCAAACAAGTTGGAATAGCCTGCCATTAACGTGAATGTGCTGTTGTACTAATGCCATTACTAACAGCATTAATAGTACTGAGTGCAGAACTACTTGTAGTAACGGATATCACGCAATCAATTAATTTGCTATGGATCGTTATTAATCTGTCATTTTCTTTTTATGCTGTTAGCAGTTTGGGCTAAATATGCGTACCGGTTATTATTATTATTATTATATGAGATTGTTTACAGTTGGTTTCCTCCCTTAATTATTATGCCAATGATTTTATTATATTCTTCATACCTTTGTCTTTATTAGGTAGTCGTTTTTTCTTAGGTGGTATTGGCAGTGGCGAAGAAGAAGTGATTTTCAGTAACGTATTGTGACGTGATGATGGGACCATAACTTCAGGTATATCTCCGAGAATCATTTCGCATTCTCGGTTGTCCTCATCCACATCATCGATCTCGTCAGAGCCACCATCCTCCATCTCTTTTTTCGGATCATCTGCTTCACCATCCTTAAAGATATGTTGTCCCTCATTTGCTCCGATAAGAGAGGGCTCACGCTCCGTTTCTTTTTCTCCCATCGGACCCTAATTTAATTTATATCATCAAATTGAGAGGCGTTATAAAAAGAGACATTCGGCACTCACTGCCGTTGTACATTGCAATATTATAACCATTTTTCAGATCATTCTTTTAAGTCGAATCATCTTTTTTACCACAGTCAGACAATGTAATGAACACCTTGCTCGGGGTATAACAATTCCATTAAAAATGTAGAGAGCAGGGCTCCATACTGACAACGTATATTTTTCTGCATTTGGATTATAATAACATAAGTTTTGGCAGCTGAAATTACATATCATGAAGCGTCGTTTAGAAGACAAACACAAGGACTTTTGTCTAGTACCTCTACGTCTCGATGGGTACTTCTCGTTCTGAAGTCTGTGGCAGATTTCTTTGTTAGATCCTTTTCTCCCTCGCGAGATCCTTCGGGCAACTCGCGGTTTTTAAGCAACAACTTCATTAGAAAGCACAGTCGTGTTAATTAAATTGGTAAGTTTTGGTTTCAGCCAACCAGATATTTATTGAGATACAAATTCGATCAAATTTTTTTCAATATTAAGTTAAAGGTAGTGGTTTCAATAACCATCAACGCGGTTTCATAAAAACAAAGCAATGCTTTCGTTCCATTTTTATGTTTAGCATGAAAAATGTTCCCATAATAAAAACATACATATACATATATCTCCTTTTACCATGGAGCCCCTTATTCTGTTTCAAGATAGTTATATTACATTTACATTCTGTGACTTTATTAACAATAGGCAAATTCCCTATAAAAAGACTGATAAAATAAACGTACTGCAACATGGTTATGGAATTCGCCACTAAAAAGGCTAGAGATATCGACTGGTTGCTCCGCTGAGAAATTCGGCTCCCGACAGGTGCGGTACTTTAAAGTCTCCTCAAGGGCATGTGCTTGAAAATTCATCACGGTGAGACAGTGTATCTGAAAGTTACGTATACATCAAATAAGATCATATATCCATAGTAAGATAATATGCAAGGATCGACACCAGTTTCATTATTATTAGTTTCGTTGTACTTAAAAGGCCTCTCAGGCGTCTGAGTTTGAACAACTTGAAACTGTTAACCGTTAGCATTGAAAGGTTACACGTTGCAAGTCAACATATAACATTTGAATTTCTTATGAGCGATAGACGGGCTTCAGCTGCAATACGTATAATTGCGTGTCATCTTTGTCCCAAAAACGACGCTGCCCGAATCGTCGCAATTATCTTGAATGCCCAGCAAGACTATTATTTGAATTTAATTAATTAAAAACTTAAGAGCTTAATTAAAAACTCTACTACATTTAACTTGTAATTATGAGGAATCCTTCGGGACTTCTACGAACCGTATCATGTCGAAATAATGCATTCGCTATATAAAGCTATTGCAACCGGTACGCACTGGATCCATAGAAGTAGCACCTTGATCAGCGCTGTGCTGATCACCGGGATAACCTAATATGATATTAGCGCTGCACCTTCAATTAAGTAATGATACTATAATCAATATGAGATAATGGCCCGGGTTTTCTAGCCAAATCGTATTCTTTTGCCGTTTAATACCCACCCAGAAAATCTCTATAAAATAAGGTAAATCATCTCCACGCTTTTAAGGATGTTTAAGTCATCTTTTTGAAAATCAGTAAAAAAAACATGTCATCTAGTAAATACCTTATCTCCAGTAAATATAAGGTTTATCTTAACTTAAATCAGATACTAATTATTCTTGTTACTCATCCACTATTAACTGTGGAAATTTTCTCATGAATGGTCCGAAAGACGCTGAAGTTCTTTTTGACATTAACAGGGTTAGACATTTTCTGACACATACATTACATAATAACATGCAGTATAATAAAACTGTGCAACTCTATTCTTCTTTTTTGTTTCTAACATTATTATAATTTCAACTGTGTGGTATTAATTAATAAGTGGGAGGAATTGTTTACCGTGGCCCATTTGGTTGGGTTCGCACTTCTTATGTAGAAACCCATTTTTCACCAACGTAAGTTGATGACAGAGAGCGTGACAGTTCAATTATATTCTAAACAGTCCTAAAATTCCTGGCTAGCGCGTTGCTTGGTATAATAGACTCTGGTGAGTCAGTGTATGAGTAACGCTGCTGGATTCTCTGCCCTTAGACAGGTCATCGAAGGTTGTTTCGAATTAAAGGGTCGCTTAGTTAATGGGACGCTAAGGTCGATCCACAAATCTCTTCACACAGTTATCTCAGGGCGTCTTTCTCCATTTTAGTGACACTATTTGTAATATTGACATAAACGTTTCCAAAAAAAAATGTAGTAGGGGTTTAAGAAGGTTTGGTTAAAGCCATGTAAGCCTTAACCAGCTAGTGTGCAGAAAACGCGATTTTTTTTCAAGGTCTTAACAGTCAGATTACAGCCCAGATCGCAACCTGGTTGTCATAAAATACTACAAAAGGAAAAGGGCCTCGTCAAGAAAACTGAAAACCGCCGCTTTGCAAGATCAGCGTATGAATGTGAATGCTGCGGCGTTGCATAAATGCAAAACTGATAAGCTTTGCATTGGTCTAATTTAGCACAATCCAAAGACACCTCTAAAGCTTACAGTCGATTTGTCGATGCTCTCTATAATGACCTGAATGCTTTCGTTAAAATCATCTGCTTTTACCAACAGCATAGAGGTAGTGTCTCCGCAATCTCAGCGTTCGGCGTGCTCAGAATACATAAAACATTTGTTCAAACATCTCAACATCTTAATTCAAATGTCATTTGCTGGTTACGTATTTAGCTTACGTAGTAAGTTACGCAACATTGGTGTGCAATATTTGACCTTATGATTAATTATGGTTCTGACTAAATAATGACTAGGTTGTGATCAGTCGAACAACAGATTGACAATGTTGTTACAGGTAGTAAAATGCCCATGGACACGTAACATACATATAGACAAATATTGTTTTGTATTTTTTTTTGATACCATTCTTTGCCAACCCTTTGCTGTCAAAAAACATGACCAAACTTGGTTGAGTTACTTTGATAGTATCCGATACCTAATACCGATATATGCAAAAACCCGCATATCGTCGCGCTAAAAGTATTCATTCAACAAACACGAGGATCAACTTCAATCAACTACATTGGAAGGTAGACCGAACTGACTTTTTGTTGCCTATTCTATCGTTTGGTGGCCACAGGCCACTCTTGTAACCTTATAGGATTTTTTCTAGGATTAGCTTAAGCTAGTTCACATTAATTTATTTGTATTTACACATAGGTGGTTCCGTTTGGCTGCATACTTTGGTAAGCGTGTGTCTACTGCACATGTAATGTTCCATGATGCAATCGCCTGTTACATCACTGGTTGTGTGTACATGACACAGTAGAAAAAACGCATACGTTGATGATTAAATCAATGATTTCCCAGATAGTTCGGGAGATCAAAAATATTGTCTGTTTATTGACGGATCCGTTTGCCGATTGAACGAAACTTGACTGGTTCGTAAATCGAAAAGCATCCGAGTATCTGACCAGCTAAGGTGTCTTTCCGTAATGATAATATCCGATTAGTAGACCTTTAAGAAACAAAACAATCATTTGTTGGCTTTGGAGAGTTGGACTGGTCTCAAGTAGACTCAGTGAAAAATGTTTGGTATGAATTAATAAATAGCAAATGAGGCTTTATTATCGGTTGATAGCCCTTCACGTGCGAAGACAAAATACGGTGACGAAATTGTCATGATATCAATGTACACGCGCCTATCACCAGTTAAGCTATGTGCCTGAACCGAACGAGTTGTAACGAACTTCGTAGTGCCAACAAAACGGGTCGCATCTTTCTGAGATGCTCTGACCCGGATCATGGGCCACCACCCTGAATGTGTTCCAGCAGCTTCAATAGGTAATATTAGAAACAATAGGTTACTTTCGTTATGAAATGTATGTTGTATGAATGTTGAGTCAAAACAAAAGCTAATTAGATCTAATCTCGGTGGATCATAAAGCCTAAATGTGTTAACGTAAATATAATAGAACCGGCCATATCGGGTTTCGCTACTCGAGTGGGAGAGCTGTTTTCCGTAGAAATTGCTTTTATGCTTTTAGGCGTACAGACAGGCCGTGAATACGGTGGATTCGTAGTAATGACAAAAAATTGAACGGTAGTCAAGATCTCTAGAACATAGCAACTAGTGCTCCTGAAGTAAAATTGGACGTAACTTTCAATGAGTTATTCAGTTGAGTCGCAAGGAATGTCAAAGCAAAACCTCATTTTGGTTTTACGTTTGGAGCAAAACCTAAATAGGGGATGTTCGATTAGGATTGAAACGCGTCTGTCGTAGATTGAAAATTGTATATATATGTAGAAAAAGATATTTGAAAAACTGGGTTCAAAATGGAAGCTGAAGATTATCGAGGTTTATTCTAAGTACATCATACGTGACGTAATAACAGCGTTTTGCTCTTATTTTTTTTAAACTTACTATCGCTAACTAATAAACGTTATAACTAAAAATATTTATCACATGTACCGCTGCGTATTGTTATGTTATAATAGTGCAACGCGACATACAACTAAATCGCCACCCGCGGGCTTTTTACTTCACCTAATTTTGGAATAATACTTACAATAGAAGTAACGTCCATTAGTAACCATCTGTACCCATCAGATGATTTTTTTTAATCTAAAAGTAGTGAGTTTAAAAATTAGTCGAGTATTACTTCAGACGATTGATTCCTTCCACTACCAAACAAAGTGCGCCTAGTCTCGAATCTAACGCGTATCCGTATGTTTAACAGGCAAATATATTACCGAGTCCGCTATTATAGCGACGACCGTACTAGGTATAACCAAATAACTTCGTCAACAGTATACGTTAAACACATTTTTCTAGAATATATGTACAGCACCCCATCGGCCTTGAAAATCAGCCCAACCGATGCCCTCTAAGGATACAGTTAGGGTCGGACAAGCCCAAGGTTTAAGTACAAAGATAAGGAAGGACAAAAAACAAAAAAGCCATGGGGAGGCTTCGCCCTGTGCCTATTTTACTAAAATAGGCGTAGATGACGCTCATCATCGGATTAGTGTTTCAAATTGCAGTGTGCATTGTTTTCAAGCGTACGAAGTGGAAAATGACTTGCTAAAATTGGTTAGCGACCAGCTAAATTAACACTTTATTACGGTAAAAAGCTAATTTCTGCTTCTAGGGCGAAGTATTTCACCAATTAGATCCGCAATCACCCCAGATCTTAAACCCTGGCGACTTAGAAAGAAACCAGTCCAATACTACCATATTACGGGCTCCACTCGGGTCCGATAAACGAACAGGTTTAGGACAAGCAAATACGGGCCTATTGGGATTAATAGTTATTGCGGTAACCATGATCAATATAGCATTATTGTCAATGTTTGATATAACCATTATCGTAATTAATATCCCTATTATCGACTATTGAATTGCAAAATACCTTTTGCCTGTGGCCGTGATAATGTTCGTAGTCGTCTTGTATACTAAATAATTTAAGATCGTTTGCACACACTGTATGCCAATCGTGATTGTCACCATGGTATCAAGATTAAGCCACTCTTCCTGATATGGAGATAGAGATTTCGTATTTAAATCATTATCCGAAACAAGACCAACTTCTAAAAACGATTGCAGTTCATACATGCCTGCGGTTTACAAGTACTGATATGTTTTCAAAATAAGCTAATTTAGAAACTCACTCTGCATACTTACGTATAAACACGTTAGGAATAAATGAATGGTAGACAGTTATTGAAAGCACAGTTTTTAAGATACGTTTCTTGCCTAAGCCCATCCACGCATCCTTATGTTCGTATTCTCTCATTCGCTCTCGAGGCCATTTGCCATAGCAGCATGGGCGATGTCAAGTTCTTGAGAAATAATGAACGTTTTTTGGCTAGGTTATTCACTGAAGTAATGATAATACTAAATTCGGCTTACCTTTTGTTTACTAACTATTTATTGCCGTAGGTACGCATTATATACATTTCAGGACACTTTCCTTTTTTCCACCTTCCTCACTTCAAAGACAACTACCACTCTATGAACCACAAGTGAAGCGAGGGTCAAATGTCTTGCGTCGAACCCACGAAACCTAAGTAGGTTAGTAACTGATATTGTTTAACAGCATCAATGTATATTTGTGATTTTTTGTTCTCTGAAATACTCCTAAACCATTATGTAGTTCATTTTTAGGCACAGTTGCTTTACAGTTTAAGCAAGCAATTAAACTACTTTAACGTAAGCTGAGCCTTTTTATGAGGTAAACAATTTAATAGGTAAATGTTGCTGTTACACAGCTGATCCATCGAACAATATCCTTTTGTCAGAGGCTGTCTGCTAGCAAATTCTTTTTGGCAGACCAAAGCGCAGACAACAGGAGGTACGCCCCGCCACAATCTATCAAACAATCAACAGAATCTTTTAAGTTATCACCGACCCCTCTCCGCTGTGGAAAGGAATCAGGGCGAAGGAGGCGCGAAATTCAATCTTGCCTTCAATCTTCAATGAGCCAGTGATGAGAAACTAGTCAGATTTAATATAAAGCAAACAGGTTACACATTACGTAAGATTGGACTGCCATTTGTTATCCCTTGCGGGACCTTGCCACGCTTGAGATTTGCCCTGCATTTTCGGTTTAACTGCGGACATACATTTCTGACTATTAGTTGTGCAGCAAAATGATCAATGGTTTTGTAATAAATGGGCAGTCATTTTGGTGAACTTTATAATTATTTAGTGTTACCAAACCATTTGCAAATTTGATTTTCTTACATACAAATATTACAAAATCTGAAAACAAAGTACGTGAGCCAGTATAGCTGTACAAGTGGTATCAGTAGATCATAAATACAGTGTCCGGTCTTTATTAGTTCAGTGCTCTAGTAATGTGTGAAATGATATTAATAAAACGCAAAAAACGTGAACTACGTAGCTAGAGGGGTAGCAGCAGTTCCGCTCTTCTGAGGAGGACCGAACACACAACGAGGCCCCGTTAGCTATACGGAGAGCGCTCTCTGAGCACCAAGGCACTATAAGGCAAAGCCAACAGTAACAGTACATCCGTAATGATGCTGATAATCGTGTGCAATTTACTGGACAGCCCACAATTGTAGATAAGCAATATACAACGGCGATTTTTAAACTAAAAATGCACTCACGTCAGCCAAAAGTAATGAACAGAAAGAATCCTGCGTTACTTTCTACGACAGGTTATAAATTCTTAAAATTTCAAAAAATCGACACGAAATCATATATAATATGATCCTCCTGTTCCTGAAAACCCATCGAGATGAAATCCATAAAACGGTCGAAAATAAAATAGTAAGTCTGATGCTACGTTTCTTTTCTCGTGATCGCACATGTAACGACACTGTCGTTAAAATAAACAAAGCAGTTTTTTTTAAACTGCTGTGGGAAGTAAGGCGCTTACTGAAACTAGTATTTAGTCCCCTCACTACTGGCTGTAATCATTGCTGCAACTCGACATGCTTCGAATGCACTTCCGCTCCATTTCAGTCACGGCCGGGCTTTGGGCCTACACTTGGAACACTGCATTTTTTAATTTCTCGATCTTCTGGGCTTGCTCTTGATGTAATACCACATATTTTCGATCGGACTCAAGTTGAATGAATTTTCAGGCCGTTGCAGCACCTCAACAAGGCACGTTGTCCCATAAGATATGGTTTCCTTCCGGGACCCACTCTGTACGTGCAGCAGTATTTCCACTTGAATTATTTCATTACATAGTCGTTTTAACATACCATTGAGCAAGCGTAGAGGTCAGCACGGCCGTTGTAAGTGTTTCGTTTGAATGCTAAATCACACAGGATTAGTGGGATCTTTTGCCGGAACGCCTGAAGACCTGCAGAGCGTTACCAGCTAAGACCCCAAAGTACGACTCATCTGCGCACAAACCCCTTTTCACTTTTTAGCTATCCGATAGATGTTTAGCCCACTTGAACTGCCTATACGTTTGCAAACGGTTTTACCGCGGCTCTTCATCGCGGTTTACGACAGCAAAATCCACGGGATTTCGGTACGACGCCTGAGCGCCTGTCCCCCTATCTCCGCTTTGCGTTGTGTACCGTTTTCGATTTCTGTACACTTCTTTTTGAATAAAGAGGCATATTGTCCTTCTACTTTCGTGCTACACTGTCAACTGTACACTTTGATATTACAAATTGCGGCCCATTCAGAATTTTCTCTTCATGATGGCTTTCTTTATATGGGTCTGGTTATTAGGACCCGCTGCTCTTTAGTGACGTCTTCCCGGGATCCCATTAAAAATTTATAGATAGCCACAAAAACGTTAAAATCACTAAAACTGACTTGATGTAATCTACAGTCACAACAACGTCATTATCGTAAAATAAATAAGGGTAACGATAATTGTTGTACTACATCTCGAATCATTTAAGTCTCAACATAAATGGAAGAATTCGATATACGACGAAGTACCAGAATTATTCATAATGAATTCAACGCTGATACATGTTGTGGTGAACAGCAATTGCGCATCAAATTTCGGTACATGTTTTCAACAGATTCCTATAACAGCTTGAAATGTTTCCCTAGCGTCCTTATATACGAACATTTAACTAAAAGTGGAGGAAGGCATCCTTTACAAAGAAAAAAAACCGCTCGCAGGTTCGGATGCGGAGGTACTTTTGGCCAAACTCAACGACGTGTCAAAATTCTAGGTGGCTTTATTTGATTACCAAATGACTGTATATTACAAAGCCTTTTGTTGAGGGGTTGTATCTACATCCAATATTTTATTGACAATCAACAAATTTGCAATAAAAAAACC